AATGCAGCAGAACCCCCCAGGCCAGGTAGGTAGCAGTGTGCAGTGCAGTACTGTGTTACAATAGTTGTAGAGAGTAGGAAGGGTAGGTAGGGATTACTAGGTAAAAAGCTTCCCATGAATCGAGTAGGTAAGCCGCTGGCACCGGGCGCGCTTCACACGGTCGTTCGACGCCCTGTTTCACCACGGCTATGGTGGTGGTGGTCGGGGTCAGATGGAAGCAAAGGGCACGCGTCCCATCTCTGATGAAAAGTCACAATAGAGGAATAATGGATGGATGGATTTGTTTGTCTGTGGCCTGCGTTTGCACACGCTGATGAACGGCAGCAGCCCTTCACGATGCTCCCCTCCCCCATTCACCCATAGTATTGGTGGCGCCATGTACCACCACCCTGCTCTCCGTTCGAGCTGCTCGTTGCGCGCCGCCGACCGAGGGAGGGAGGGAGTACCCGCCCGCTTCTCTTGCGTGCTCCCTCCTCGTTGGTGCGCGCATGTTAGATCATGATGATGGTGATGATGAGAACGACGACGATGATGATGATGTGGTGTTGGACAGCCGCAGCTCTCCTCCTCCTCCTCCTCCTCCTCCCAATCCTGATTTGGTGAAGAGTGTGGGACCATGGCATCGCATCATTACCGGGTTGAGGAAAGGCCCAGGGTCAGGCGCATCGTCTGCCATTGATTCGAATCTGACCAGGGGCCAGGCTGTGGCCGGTTCCAGCCTGGGAAGCTTTTTGTAGGTTACAAATATTGTACTTACTGTGGTAGCTGGCCAGCCCGTGCCCACTTACATAGTACACCTGCCCTGTCCAGGTTCCACTCGGGGCTGTCGAGGGCCCGTGGCTTGCTGCCAAGAGCTACATAGCCAACCTCGTAACCACACCTGGGCACCCCCTCCATCCGCCAAAATGATCCCCAATCGAATCCATTCGCAGCTCCAACAACCCGCAGCCCGCCGCCCGCCGCCCTCGAGTCGATCCCCCATCAATCCATCAATCCATCATTCAATCCCTCTATCAATCATCAGAACACAACCACGCCTGCACCTGCCCGCCCATACATACCAGTCCTACCACCCACCTTCTTCACCTCCTTCTTCCTCCTCGAACTTTATCCACCATTCCTGAATACAACCATGTCCACAAATCTCTGATGTCTGCCAAGAAACATGGGCCACCTCCCCCCTTGTAGCAGAGCATGACTGTTGACCGAAGTCGTTCCTGCATTGCGACGCCAATTGGACGGCCGCCGAACACGTCTTGACCTGCCACCGCTGCTTTAGACACCTCATCCAACCGGCCTTGAAGTGGCCACTGCCAAAATCCCAGGCCTTGACCTCGACCATGACCTTGACCTGAAATCTCCAGTCTGAACTAATCCCCAATCCAAATCAACCCACTACCAGCCCTAGCTGACGTTCAATCCGTTTGGCCGTTGCATGGCCCTCCTGCACGCCTGTTCTGGGATCCTCTCAAGTGCGGCTGTATCCGTGCCGTGTGCGGCTCCTCAGCCCTCACCAGCTTGGGTCGCAACAGTAATTGGTTCGCACACGTAGACACCTCGACATTCGCTATATGATCCCCTCTTGACATGCAAATTCCTCTGCATTTTTCATCCTGCTATCTAATAGTCGCCAACGAGAGAGTTTTTATTGCTTTTCGCACACTTTTTTTTGGGGCATGAGGCAAGAACTCGTTCCTGGTTGTCGCTAGGCACTACCACAGCCGTTCTTGTTCCAAGTAGATTGGCTATTCACTGTCGACATAGTGGCAAGGCCTCATGGGTATCCTTCCTCGCTCTGAGCGCTGTGTAGAAATCATGAAGCTGTTAGTCTTCCTCCGCATCAGAGCCAAAGGTTGCAAATCACGAGCTGAGAAGTACCATCTGAGCATCGCGACTAGCTACCAGTACAAGTGCACCATAGGGCTGATGAGATGCCATTGAATCGACTCTGGCCAACTTGGCCAACCACCGTCCTGTCTCCTTCAACACCATCTAACACCCGTAGGCCATCAGCATGTACCTTAGATTCAACATGTACGTTGGACTCAGCATGTTGCGAATCCTAATCATGTATCCAATCTGCCCCACATTGCCAATTCCCACTCAAATGATCATCTGTAGAGGGACTTGGAGCTCAGTAGAGCAAGGGGAAGGTGCTGTCTTTGCATAACTTATGACTCGCTTTCGTCAGCCTAGCAATCGGACTGGAATGGGTATATACGAGTAGATAGACGCAGGAGAGGCTACATCGAACATAGGACAAGAGTGTCTTTGAGCTCTAATGAACAAGGGTTTTGCGACTGTTTGATTGCGCTTCTTGATTGGCTCAGGAATTGGAAATCCACCTCTATGATTACACTTGATTTCCTCCCACTTTCCTTGTATCCTCCCATTCATGCTTGCCACAAAAAAACCTTGGCCTGTCAAACGAGACACAACTTATTTCTGGCCGAGGGCGGCCGCACGCTCATCTTCGATCTTCTGATAGAAAGCGTCACGGTGACGCACGGCGGGGACGTGGTAGCCTCAAAAGAAGTCAGTTCTGAAAGCAGAAGCAATAGGTCACAAGACCATGCATGTCGTGTCTGAGGCATAGATGGCGCTCACGTACCGTACCACCAACCGTAGCCAGCAGTGAGGCCAAGACCTGCAAAGCTTCGTTAGCGCAACTGCTTCATCGAGGCGCACAAGCGATAGAAGTCACAGGAGAGTCCCGGCACAGCGGAAGACTTCAATGGGCAAGATTTACGTACCCAGAGCCACAGAAATGTCGAGGACGACCTGTCGTCGGAGCATCTGTATGCCCGTCAGTAGCCAACTTGGCGAGGCGATCGAGAGACGCCAATGGCAGCACGTACGCCGGTGATGGGTTTGATAGCCATGGCGAAGGTAGTAGCAATGGAGCGGAGACGTCTGGGGCGCGGGTGCGGGTTGCGGGAATAGGTGAGGGGACGTTCTGGGGCGGGTGTTGAGGTTGGAGTTTGGGTGTGGTGTGAGTTCGGAGTTGTGCAGCAGCGGGCGGAGCGACAGCGCCAAGACGTGTCCGTGCGTCTGCGCGCTCAACTGGGAAGCTCTCTCAAGCGGAGACAACGACAGCAACCCGATCAAAGGGACGAGAGAGACAACCTGCCACCACACACGCACACGCACACGCACACGCACACGCACATGCACACGCACACACGCACAAATTCACATATTCACACATCGGCTGCGCCATCACTCATCTGTGCCCCCATTCAAACTAACAGCTCCTCACCCGGCCACCCTTGACACACCTCTCTCCCACTCTCCCCCTCGCCGCGCGCGTTCCTCTCGCCCACGCTCTTCCACGACACTCCACGACACCCACACTGGCGGTCCAGTCACCGCCGGCGCCGATCGCATCGGGCAGCTGATGCCAGGCATTCTTCTCTCCCCAGTCAGCACTGCGGGCGCAATTGCAGGTCCAGGTCCAGGCATGAAGAGGGCGCACGCGGCGGAGGCGGTACCGGCGTATGGACAGCCACATCCCAAGAAGCGGAAAATCCAGCACCAGCTCCGTTACACGCAACCAGTCCAGCATATTGTCGACCCCGTCAGCGCCGAATCGGGCGATTTTGGCGACTGCAAGGACTTCTTCGACCATCAATTGCGCCGCGCTATTGCAATACAATGTCGGGGCATTGGCTTCGAGAGCGCCCAGCAGGATGCGCTCGACGAGTTTCGCGGCCTGGTAGATGCCTGTAAGCCTTGCAGCAACCGCTCCCTGGCACTTTGGCTCGGTGACTTTTGCAGGACACTGTGACTGACGTTGCCCAGATATGACACGATTGCTCGCTCAGGTTCGCAAATCCATGGCCAGCTCCCGCCGCACAGAAATGGTTCCCCACGATTGGATCTATGCCCTTACCACAACGGGGTTACGCGGCTCCTCGACCCTCGATCCGCATCTCGATACCGGGGAACTGCCTCCGGCCCTCCTGCAGCCGCCCTTCGACCCGCCCGCACCGCCAGAGGCTCCTCCGCCTGACACGGAGGCTCTCCTTGGCTCTATTTTGTCTGGCAAGGCCGACAAGGAAACGCGCGCGTACATTCCCAAGCACTTTCCCGCCTTCCCATCCAAGCACACGTACAAAGCCACGCCCGTTTTCACTGAACGCGAAAATGACCCTCGCAAGATCCGTGAGAAGGCGACCGAGGAAGGCATATTGGCAGAGCAAAGCTTGCGGAAACTAATGGCTGCGCAAAAGGCCGGCATACAAAAGCGAAATGTCGGCAAGCGGAAAAGAAGCAAGCGTATGAAAGAGAGCGACAGCCTCTGGCAAGAAGCCATGGCTGACTTGTTTGCTGAGGAGAGTGCGCGAGACAAGGAAGACCAACAGCGGCGAGCTCAGATAGCAGACGATGATGGGGCATGGGACGCACCTGTTGAGCCTCCAACACGATCGGCCGTGGATCGAAATGTTAATCTAGAGGAGGGTCTCCACGTCAATTATGAGCAAAAGTTTTGGAGGAAGTCTGCGAGAGGCAGTTCATGAGGAAATCCCGAAGATAATTGCAGTGACAAGGTTCATTGACGAAATCTGGCCTAGTTGGTCGTTCTAGTGCATTTTGACAGCGAGGTGTTTTTGGGTATCTGCATCTTCGGTCACAGTCTCGACGACCGGTAGCATCGGAGCGGCGTCTGTCACCTGGATTTATTTTTTCTGTATCATAGCCTTATAACACACTGAAACCCGATGCACGGTTATGCTCATCGAGCGCGACGTCTATGGTCACATACTATTTTTTCCATCTCATCTCCCTTGCCTTGCTAAAGCCAAAGTCTTATGCTTCGCATCTTCCCTTGAGTTCATGTCTCCGAGTTCTCAGCTCGTCAGTTCCACGGCTCTTGAAAGGATTTTGAGCGACAAGCTGAAGCCTTTTCTGAAGAACGACACCTCCATCCTGTGCCGCGTCATGAGTCAACCTTGACGCCATCCCTTTTTGCCTTCCATCTCTCCCAAGCTGTAGTTTCAACACTTAATCCATTACCACACCTGCGAATAGTCAGCTTTGTTCTCACAATGTTCAATGCAAAGCCATCAGGTCATGGTCACGTGCCACCTGGCAGCTCCCATATCCAGCCATCTCGTATCATAACTTACAGGCGCAACAACCGCACAACAGGTTCGCAGATGATATTCGGCTGCGCCTCCTTTGCTCCTTGCGTCGTAATATTGCACTTATATTGTACGAGCTCCTTCAATGCGCAGTCACTAAGGTCAACCATCGGTTTACGAGGCTTCCCGTTCGGGAGAACATTGATATCTGTTTCAAGAGAGCAAAGAGAGTGGGTGGTCGTTGGGGGCGACATTGACGGTTGAGCGAAGAAAAAATCGGGTCATGAGACTGATGATTCCCTTCAGAGTGTGTGCAAAGCGTGGTGCACGATGGGTGACGAGGGTGCGAAGCGTTTAGGCGAGATGTTGTTGGCGGGAGTTGGGCTTGAGCCTTTGAGCTCGGTGTGTGGTATCGACACAGCACGTTGTAGACTTTGCTAATGGATGATTAGGTGCTGGAGTCTCTTCGCGATATTCCTCTGGGAAGAAGAAAGATGCGAGTTCCCTTTCCCACCCGCTTCTCGTCGTGTCGTTGTTTGATTTCATGCACGCTCTGTATAGACTCTGGCTAATAGTTTGAGCAGCAGGGACGACGAGACTGTATCAAACGATCACTTTGGTATTCCGAAGCTGAGTGCTCTCATGCCAAGCTCAAGCATCCTAGTTCTCGAATTGATTTCTCCTCCATTAGCTCACCACTCTTCTGGTGCAGGCAAAACCTCACTGCTTTATCTCATCATCGCCCAGGCCATTCTGCCAGGGTCTATCTTCTCATCCATAGCGACTGGAGGCCAGAGCGCCGCGGTGATACTATTCGACCCGCTACATCACTTTAGTGTGCTTCGTCTCGCCAGTGTCATACTGAACTTACTCAAATCCCGTCTCTCGGCAGCAAGAGTAACAATCGACGAGAGCATCAGAGCCGAGCTCCAGGAAGTACTAGAAAGAAGCTTGCTCCACCTGCACATCTTTCGACCCCAATCATGGACATCTCTCATCGTAACACTGCGCTCACTCTCAAAATACCTGTTCGATCATTCGCGACATGAGAGTATGCATCGACGCATTCACTCCATCATATTAGAGGATATCGATGCTTTTGTCGGGGCGATCCGCAATCCACCTTCAGGTTCATCGAGGGGTTCAAATCCAAATCCGCTTTCTACAGCTTCCACTCAATTGACCACACAACTTCAGAGATTATCGATACTGTTTTCGTGTTGCACGATTCTGACATCGCACTCTGTTTCGGCGTCGGTTTTCAGACCTGCCTTGCCTATCTCATGGCCCCTTGGAACCTCCGTCACGCGTCTTGCACTGCGGCGTCTGGAAGTCATCAAGTTTGCGCCGGCGATCAGTTTGGAGGAGGCAGAAGTGGAAAGGCAGCAGCGATGGCAGGTTGTTAGCAAAGGACGTTTTGAATGCTGGAAGGTTGGTGCAAGAGTCAGAGGGGAAGAGGGATTCATGTTCAAGGTGGGCTTGGGTGTGGAGATAGAAAAGACAGAGTCGTAAGATTGTCTGCGAAAGCTCGAACATTCATTCACCGGTTCTCATCACGGGCCAGTAGTCATGTACAAGCAGGTGCAAAGCGAACGACAATCCTGCAACAGCCGGGCAGGGTCGATTTACCTGCATACGTATAATACAGGCTGCGCATTCGATTCATCGTTGCTTATATGTGATCCTGCAATTACCGTGCAAATGACGCACAGATGCACGCATATGCTAGGGCTCGATTGCTTTCAAGCAGTGTACATACATGGTCAAAACCGAAGAGTGCCGACATGCAAGATGCCCAAGGGCGGGTTTTTGTCGTCTCGCCAAGGCCAGATAGATGGCTGCTTCAAGCATCTCTCCCCCAAAGCAACTTCCGCCTCTCGCGGTCTTCCCTCGCAATTCTTCGCCTTTCCCCCCATTTTTGTCTCGCAGCCTCGTGACTCCGGGTTACAGCAGCAGCCCGTTCTGGTGCTTTGGCCACCATACCCACAAAGAACTGGCTACAACCAAATTTCGCGGCGAGCTTGACTCGTGTCCAAGTCTTTGGATCGCTCTTGCGCAGGCTGCGAATTTCTTCGATGTCAACGTCCGTAAGATGGTACTTCTTCTCGTAGGGTTCACGGACCGGGGCTGGCAGCGCAGATGTCGGGCGAGGCGGCAGTAAAGACGACGAGGACAGCGGAGTGCCAGGCGTGGCAATTGGTGAGGTTTGGCGGCGATGGGCGGCCGTGGTAGCGTAGGTCTGGGCGGCAGCGTACAGTTGCCGTCGCTTGTCGTCCTTGGGCAGAAACTTCAGCGGGGTGTGATAGACGTTGGGGGCAGAGGATGGCGGGTTGAAGACGAGCGTGGGTGCAGAGCGGTCGGCTGTGTAGGACGGGGCTTCGGGGAGTGCGAGCAGTTTCCTGTGCCGGCGTGTGCTGGATTCATGGCGACGTTGTGTCAGGGGAAGCAGAGACGGTTGCGGCTGCTTGGGGCATAGTCGAAGCAGTGTTTTGCACGTCGACATGGTGTAGTGGGAGAACTTCAGCTATGCTGGCCGCGATGTGGCATGGTCGGCCTGGGATGGGCCTGATTGGGGGATGCGAGTGGACGAGACTACTTTTTTAGTTTTTCCGCTCCGACACCTCTTTCACCTGGCGCATGGACAGACGCATGTTGAGGCGGCCTGTTCGACCCTACCTAGCGCACAAATGTAGACCTAGTACTAGTAGTACACTGTGTAAGTATTTACCCACACGGCTATCTGAGCATTATGGCTCTTATGAAGAAGTGTATCAACGTATATATGTATGTATGCACGTAAAACATGATGTTTGCCGGTGGTCAGATATATAAACTAACAGCAACGATACTTCACGAACGCTTCAGCTCGCTCGCCACATAGTGCAGATAGGCTCCCAGTAACTTGGTGCCTTCAATGTAGTTCCTCTTGTCTAACTTCTCGTTGATGGAATGGGCAGCATCTGTCGAGCTTCCCATGGGCAACAGCAGCACGTTCTTCCCAAGCTCCTCTTGAAACGTCAAGGTGACGGGAATGCTGCCACCTTCCCGAGTCATATCTGGTTTCACACCAAACACCTTCTCGACTGCTTTTGCGGCGGCTGTGTAGTTGGGATGGTTGGGGTCCTCGACCCACCACTTTCCGCAGTGCACAACGCTAAACTTCATCTTATTCTTTGACTGGAGCTTGGCAAACTCGTCGTTGATGTGCTTCTCGACAAGTTTTGTAACTGGGTCGATCTCCATGTTGGGCACAGTGCGGATGGAGAACTTGCCAATGACCTTGGCTGGAATGACAGTCTTTGCCCCCTCGGAGTAAAAAGCACCCTCGATCCCGTGCAACGACAGAGAGGGGTATCGCATCTTATGCTTCAATGCGTCTTCCTTGCTGCTGTGAATTGCGACTTCGCCTCCCAACGATTCCTTCAAGTCATCCATGGTGAAGGCGATAGGCGGGTAGAGAGCGGCCTCGTCGTCAGTGAGGGGCGCAACCAACTCGTCGATACCCTTGATGAGGATTCTGCCGTCGGGGTCGACAAGAGAGTTCATGATGCGGACCAAGTCGGTCATGGGTTCGTGCGTCATACCGCCATACACGCCCGAATGCAGGTCCTGGCCAGGACCGGAGACCTCGACCTGATAGTAGTTGCAACCCCGCACACCATACGTGAGGCAGGGCTTTTCCGTGCCCAGCCAGTAATTGTCTGAGATGCAGACGACATCCGCGTCCTTGAAAAACTTCTTGGCCTCGATACGGATGGTGTCGTCCAGACCCTCTGAACCATTTTCCTCCATGCCCTCGAAGCACATGATGAGATTGACGGGCAAGTCGATGCCTGCCTTCTGGTGTGCCTCGATGGCATTCAGCCAGCCGAGAACAGGCCCCTTGTCGTCGGTGCTGCCACGGCCGTACATGCGGCCTTTGTCGTCGATGCTCAGCGTGAAGGGATCCGTGGCCCAGCCGTCCGACTTGTTGGCGGGCTGAACATCGTAGTGGCCATATACCAGCACATTGACCTTGTTTGGGTCGTCTCCGTAGCGGCCGAGCAGACACGGCGGCAGGTCAAGATGCTCGCGCCCGGGCTGTTTACCCAGCTCGCGCAGTTCGACGGTGCCGCCCAATGCTTTGATCTGATCTGCGAGCCAGTGGCCCATTTTGACCACATCGGGCCGCCTTTGGTCTTCAGAGCTGATGCTGGGAATCGCCACGGCCTCCCTCAGCCTCTCGATGAACTTGTTCTGCAGGCCGTCGACCTGTGTAAAGTACGGCTCGAGGTGCGCCATGGTGTTGAAATGCGTATATAGGTATGGCCAGACGGCGTTGGGGAGTCGGCCGGGCGTGTGTTCGTCGGGGCGGCGCGGGGTGGTGTGGGCAAAGCGTCTTCGCGGGGGCGCAGGGGGAGGAGTAGGTGCAAGATGAGGGCCGTGAAGAGTCTGGCAAAGGCGTGTCGCGCTTATTCGCGGTGTGTGTGAGTAGGATGGTATGAATCGGGCAGGTGGTTGTAGTAGCGGTACTGGTGGCCGTCGTGGTAGTGCGACCCTCACGGCGTGTACGGTATTCTTCGATGCAGCAAGGCGGGGAGGGGCAAAGCGGGGCATCGTCGTCGTCGTCGCATTTTGCAGGCTGCGAGAACGAACCGTGGCCGACTGTCAGATGCACAAACAAGCTGGCCTGGCGCCTCTCCAAGCGTGCTCGTGTCTACCTATGATGGCCCATGTATCTCAAGTGCTATACCCAGTACCCATGTACACAAGCACGGTAGCGCTCTTTTTCCTCAAGTGCTGCAACCAATGCACGGGGACATTGTAGGTACAGGATGATGGGGCCCACCCGAGACAGTCAAAAGCCACCTATTCGAGGAAAGCTGTTATAGCCACACTCGTGCGATAATCATGCTAGAGTGGACACATACAGCATCGTACATGGAAATGCCAAATGCAGGACAAAACAAACAGATGCAGACCTCATCACGCTCGCCACGCTATGCTAACTAACGCAAAATTCGGAGGAATAATGCCAGTGACCCAAGGTCGGGACACAAACCAGAACAAGGCCATAGCAGAGCGTGAAACGAAAAGTATGCCAAGTTCCGGACATCTCGACCCTAGGCGACCGCAGCAACAATAACAACAGCAAGGATTTCAAACAGCATCTTGATGCCGACAGCCATCATCGTTTCAATACTGTGCCCACCATTCAGTGACATCCACTGACATGCCCCAGTCCGAGCTACTCTTGTGTCTGTGTAAGACTTGGAGTATCATACCCCGCTGGCCCATCAATCTCCTGAGCACTATCCGCAAAGCTTGGCAGAGTAAATGTCATATCGCCGGCTTGAACCTGCTGCCCAGCACTCAAAGAGGGTTGCTGAAAGGATATGGGCTGTGTGCCGGCAGGACCGAGTCCACTTCGATTGACGTTGCTACCGGAGTCTCCTTCTACAATCCCTGGCTGTTGTGGGAGCGCGTCTGGGACAGTAGCTTCAGAGGTTGCTTGTTTGGTCGGAGTCTCTGTATGGAACGCCTGTGTAGTAGTGCTATCGGCCGGTTCGTTATGATCTTCCGTGGCCAGGCCTGTTGTGCAATCTGCTTCGCCGAGTCCAATATTCGATATGCCTTGCTCTTTCATGGCTGAATGTTCTGGAAGTGCTCGCAAAGGCGGATCCGGATGCTCGTCTTTTTTGAGATGCTCGAACTCGATCACCGATGACCGCCGCAGCTCGTCAAGTTTCTCCAGGGGGTTCTTCACAGCTCGAGTCAGCTTCATATACTTGAAATATTTTGTCTCTCAGGTTGGGGCTAGTGAAAAGTTTGTGCTCATCAGGACCACGTGTAAACGGCCTGAAACGCCAGAACTGATGATCTCGAATCAAGATTTCGCGACGCTTTGAGAAACTCGAAGGTATACAACTCGCACACTGGCCATTTCATTTGACTATGCACGAAGACATATGGAATCGAGTGGGACTCGGCTGTCACAGAGCGTGCCCTTAATGAGGCCACTGAGCCTGTCTCTGGGAGAAAGCTGCGTTCGTGATACTGCTAAGTTTCTCTCAAAGCGTACGCAGCGAGGATGGAAACCCAAATGGATGATAGAGGAAAAGCCGGAAGGCGAACATACCCATTCTTGTTGCTCAGGAACGCCCGTAGCAGACGGAAGCTCGCCTTGCTCATTTCGTTCGTCCCCCCAGAATGAAGGACGGCGAAGCGGGGCCGGTGTGACAGGTAGGCTCGGCCGTTCTACTGCCGACGGGAAGTCTGTGAGAATCAAACTTGAGCGTCGATTTCTCCTCATTACAAGCGGCGAGCTGATATCGTCTGTACCAGTTGTCTGTTCGAGGCTCTCGGTCTTACCGCGCCTTCCCTGTAAATCAACTATAGCTCGTACGTAGTTTTCAATGCCTGGTACACGGTCCCAAGCATTGACATTACTCGATTGAAAGGCCTGCCATTGCTCGTCAGCAGATTTGGATGGGGAGATGCTTCCGGTACTATCGACACGCCCTGCGTCTTGGGATACTCCACTATCTGCACCGTTATAATGCACTGTAGAGAATGCATGCGTCGGCGAACTGATTGATGGAGTCGGCTCGGGTGGCGCATCCTCAGCAAATACACGAGTTGCCCTAGGCCGATCCGGTTCTTGCTCCCATGGAAATATGGGCTTTGGCATTTCCGTATGCTCAGGCTTGTTCTCTGGCACTTTGTACCCCATGTCTTGGGGTGCTTTAAACAGCGTGGGACTCTCGCTGAACGTATATGTTTGGCTAGGGAAGTTGGCGGCCTCGGGTCTCGAGTCCGTTGGGGGTCCGGATCTGTCTCTGTTAACAAAACCTCTTGTGTTGGTATTGGAAATATACCTAGTTGCGTCCCATTCCATTTCAGGAGCAGAGAACTTGCGTTGTTGCGACGTCGGTGTTGGCTCTATAACATTTTGGTCAATATTTGCAGCCAAATCGCCATGATCAGTTATGGGTGGTTCTGTGGTGATAGCTGAGGCCTCAGGTTGAGCGGCGGTAGCGGGAATAGTGTTTAGGGTTGTTCTATCACCTTCAACTCCAGCTTCACTCTGGGCGATTGCTTTCGGTCTATTCAAATGGCGGTTGTGCACTGCCCACCACCGTGCCAACAACTCGCCATAGACGCCGCTCCCACCACTCTGTTGTCCTGACCAGGGCTTATTCTTCCCAACAAAGTGAATAGCACTAATGTCTCGCTTATAGTAGCGATAGGCTGGTTCCCATTGATACTCTGCGTTCGGAGTGCAATTGTAGGTGAACTTCAAACGCTGCCATGGGCGGTGCTCAAAGTACTGGTTCAGTAGGCCTTGATCGGCACCGTCGAAGCTGTCGCCAGTTGCTGCCATGGTCTGTAAGGCCCAGTATTCGCCCATGTTCGGTGTGATTACCATAACACCGCTATTGAAAGCATCAGGCCACCCAATATCAGGCGCTGCAGCAAAGCTCGCTTGAATGTCGAAGAGCTCATCCAAAGCCCTCAGAGCCACGACATCGGCATCAAGGTACACAATCTTGCGAAATTGTGTCTGCCTCCAGAGAGCAATTTTGGTGAAGGCATATGATAGATCAGGCCGCCCCATGACGTATAAATTGGACAAGTTGGGCGTTCGCATGCGCTCAACCGGTATAACATAGTCGTAGAGCGTCGTGAGCTCAGCAATGGTATCAGCGGATAGCGTCTCCATTGTGACCAGAACAGCGAGCTTTTTCGTAGTCCCTGCATCGCGCAAGGAATTTGCCAGCACAGCAGCACCCGGTAAGTAGGAGTCGCTCAAGAGGAGCTGGCGGTTGGTTCAGCCTGGGTATTCGTGCTATAGAGAAATAAGCTTACCGTGCAGTAAACATCCTCCTTAAGTCGCGACATAACTGCCATCTTCTGAGGAGATCAAGCGAGAAGTGTGTAGGAAGAAACAGCCCGTAAGTGCATCGAGATGATCAGAAGATTTACTGTTAGACGGGCACTTCCCCGCAGTGACTCCCGTAAATGGCGCTGGCGCCGATCTACAGCTCAGCAGTGCAGCTGCCAGCTGCAATTCTGCCAAGTGCGAACTGGCTGCAGGAAGTGTCACAATAGTGGGAGATGTGCAATTGCAATTAGTAAGGAAACAGAAAAATTGCTAAATCTACTCTAAGCGTGTTAAAAGGTACCTAGAGGTCTAGCTATATTTTGTCTAATATTTAAGATTTCTTAACAACATCCGCTGAGAAATACATTACATTTAAGGCGGCATAATTGATCACTAAGATAGCAACAGCACGGATAATCCTGAGGTTTAGTTATAATGCTGGGCAAGCATTACTAATAGTTTACTATTAAGTGGCATGCCACTTTACTATACAACCGCTAAGAGGTGGTATAAACTAACTAGATAGGATAAATACTAGCAGAATATCTTATACTTAACTAACCTTATAATACTATACTAGGATATTTTACTACTACAGTAGGTACTATATATACTACTATTTAACTAATATAGATTATTAAAGTGTAATAACCTAGGTAGGTAGGGTATCTTATAAGTATATAGAAGGGAGCGTCTATATAGAAAATAATATAGTTTCTACACCTATAGGTCTTATATAAAAGAATATAAAGAACTATTGTAGGAGGGATATTAACTAGATTACAGAGTATCTTAATCTAATTAATCCTAATTAATACCCCTATATAACCCACTATCTAATTAACTGCTAGCTTACTACTAAGTGCCTAATAAAAAGCAGGAGCTCTAGTAAGGAAGGTTTACTAATTATTTACCTTCTAGTAAGGGTAGCTAAAGCTCTATATATATAAGTCTAATTGTAGTAGATATAATCTAATAATCTATCTCCTAAATTATTCCTAACCTTAGTAATCTAGATTTCTATAGTTATAAGCCTAGTTCGCGCTTTACCTTATTAAAGATTGTCCTATCTATTTAAGCGTATTATTTAACTTAGACACTAAGCTAGCAAGCTTTACTTTTTTCTTTTATACTATTTCTTAAGTAGAAGCTTAGTTATTACTCTTCTACTATAAGCAACTAAATCCTAAAAGGGGATATCCTACTTACTAGATTAACTAACTAGCCTACCTAGTATATTTAATTTAGATACTATACCCTAACTAAAGGGATCTAGGTAGAGGTAGACCCTAATACTTAGGATGCTAAAAACTACTTTAAGAATAAACCTATTAAGCCTAATATGCTAATAGGTATTACGCTATCTAATATAATAAGTAAGTAGTACAAACTCTAAATAGCCTAGTACTAAGCTTACTTATTAGATTAGGTATTAAAGTTATTAGTAATCTAGAACCTTTTTATATAGGTTAATAATATAGTAGATTAAAGGATCCTTACCCTAGCCTATATAGAGCTTATTAATTAAGGAAGAGTAACCCTCTAAGTATATTATCTAAGTGCTCTACAATAACCTAGCGCTAACTAATTTAAGCGCTGTAATACTAGCAAGATTATAGTATAAAGCTTATCTTGCTAAGGTAAAGATAAGTAGCTAAGATACTAATTACTAGCAGAAGGAGTGGACAATCCTATATACGCAAGCTAAGGTATATAACGTTCCTAATATTAAAGGATAGCTTATAGTATAGGATTATCTTAAAGCTCTATCTACTAGGATCTTACTAGATTAGGGTTAAACTATATTTTAAAGGATTATTAAAAAGTTAGTAATAGGAGAGCTAACTTATAACCTCCTGCAGGTTGCTAAGATCTATTTATTACTTCTCTAAGAGAATAATATAAGATTAAGCTCTAAGGGTCCTAGAGTGTTTATAATAATAGGAGCTCTACCTTCTAATTAACCTAAGAAGGAGTCTTTATACCTATATAGTAGATCCTACCTATAGAAACCTCCTAAGTGTAAAAATATTATTAAAGCTTAGACTAATATAGGTAATAAGCTTACTACTACTTAATAATTAGAGATTAAGAAAAAGATTAATAGGAATAAAAAATTTAAAGAGATAAGAAAAGCTCTAATTAAGTCCTATCCTATTAATTAAGATTATAGTAGTAAGGTAAACGTGATTACCTATCTAGGTAGTATCTAGGCGGCACTAATTAACCCTATATTAATAGCAGAGAAAACAAATAGGATCTATTTAACTATAGATTTTAAAGCTTACGCTCTATTAAAGAGCACTATCTTTAATAATAGGGGTGTAGTACACCTAGTTAATAATATAAGCTACCTAGAAGAAAGCTTGTTTAGATTAGTTAAATATAAGATAGTTAAAGTAGGAACTTAAGCTTTTCTAATCTTAGGTAGAGGGACTAGAGTAATCCCTAATACTCTTAATAGACTAAGAGGTCTAAAAACAGAAGATTTAGTGCTTACTAACGTAGTATTAGTAGAAGGATTTTATGTAAATATTATATTAGAAGCTTAATTGCTTAAAGCAGGAGTTTAGTTCCTTAGGCTAGATACTACCTTGTAGTTTAGATTATTAGAAAAGAGTGTTATATTAGCTAAGTTACTGCGCAAGTTTAACTTAACTTTCCTAGAATATAAGCCCTCTACTCCTTATCTAATAATCTAAAGTATAGTGCCTAAATAACCCTAACAATATAGTAAGGAGCTTTAGCACTAATAATTAGGCTATTTAGGACCTAAGGCGCTTAAAGCTCTAGTTAAGTTAGTAATAAACGTTAGGATTAAAGGAACTCCTAGGAGTAAATATAAGCACTGCGCTATTACACATGCCTAATAGGTTATATTAAGATAACTAAGGGAAAGATTACTATATCTATACTACTAGGTATTATAGGATCTATTTAATATACTAATAGGTATAGCTTATAAGCAATAGATCTTAGTATTAAAGTGCGACTACTTAGGAAAGCTTTATACCTATCTACTATAAGCTAAAAACCTTAATAAGATTATATAGGTGTTTAAAAATTTTAAGAGCTTAATACTTAACTAATATAAGCTTAGTATAGTTAAGATTATATAAGACAACAACGTTGCAACGCTCCTATAGCGTAGTAAATCTTGCTTTTAGATCTAGGTAGCTAATAATAGTATTAAGATTAAGAGCTTACCTGTATATACCTATAAACCTAATAGAGAAGTAGAAAGAGTAGGGCAGGAGATTATAACAAAATTAATTAAAATAAGGATTAGTGCTAACATACCAATAATGATCTAGCCTAATAAAGCTCTAGCCTAAAATTGTTAAAGCAGCAAGGTAGCTCTATAATATAAGCCTATCCTATACTTATAATATAATATTACCTAATAAAGTGCTAGATTGTTAGTTTACTAGATACTTTAGGTAGTAGTAACTAGAGTAGATAAGGGAAGTAACTACTAATCTCTGCCCTAATTAGAGCAGAATATACGCCTATAGCTATTAAGCTTACCCCCTTAATAGAGATTAAGTAGCTAGGCGTTACAAGAGGGTTTTTAAGGTGAACCCTTAGGGTTATATTAGATATCTAGTAGGATACAGAGTATCTAATATATATAGGATATAGATCCCCTTGCTTAATTAGATTATTATAACGTAGAATATTACCTTTAATAAGGATCTTTTCTATAAAGAGAAAGATCTAGAGTAGCTTTAATAGTTAGAAGCTTAAAAGATAGTTAATATTATTAGTAAAGATAAGATCTATAATATAGGAGAAGCATATAAAAAGCTTAATATCTTTAATTAGCTTTGTATTGTGGCAGAGCAATATAAGGAGTCTAGTAAGCAAGGAGGACTAAACCTAGCGTATGTAACAATAAGGCAGAATTGCCTGCCTATTGTTCTATGCCAAGTCAGGCCTAATAAAGGCCCAACTTACTAATGTATATAGAGAACAGCTCGCCTATAGTTAGGATAGGTATATTCTTCTTATCCTTTTGTACAAGACCTATAGGTGTAGGAATCTTATCCTTTTCTACATAGACGCGCACTCCTATATGCCTTTAAGTTATATAGGATACCTTTTAGATGCCCTACCTACCTAAGTTGTTATATTATAAGAAGAATATCCTCCTAGCTAGTAATAGTATTTAAAAATATCGCACTTATTATTATTTTAAGCTACTAATTTAGTTCTAGTAGCTATCTAACCCTATAACTCTATAGTTAGAATAGCTATTAGAACTTCTAATAACTAAAGCCTATAGGCTTAGACTTCTAGACCTATAGGTAGTGCTAGATTACCTTTAGAAAAATCGCGTTAAATTACGTTAAGGTAGAGACCTAGAGACTACTAAAAGCCTAGAGGAATTAGAGGCAAAGCTAATATCCTCCTATAACTAAACCCCCTAAAAAGAAAAGATTTATTATTCTTATTAACTATAAAATATTAGATAAAGGTAAAGGAAGGGTATCTAGTTTAGCCGCGTTTAAAAGCCTATTTACTAATAGAAAGAAATTAGATAAGGAAGACTTAATTAATAACGCCCTCCTTAAAGGACCTGCTTCCTATCTATCTCTTAAGGTACCTTATACTCCTAGGAAATCTTAAAGTAACACCTCCCTTAAAGATAAATATATATTAACCCTATCTAAAAAGGAGAGGTTAGAGGAACAAGTTAAGCAACTTACTAATTAGTTATATAATACCTCCCTCTATAAGGAGATATAGGGTACTACCTAACCTAGCTAGTCTTTAGCTTCTATATTAAACCCTATAGTATATACTATAAAATCTAAGAGATAATCTAAAAAGATGCTAAATATCTCTATACTTAGTAATAGTGCTAATCCTACTTTTAGATAATAGCAAGCATCTATTTAGGATAGGCTAGAGATTAATGCTAATTACTACCCCTCTTCTAGAGCTTAGATAGCGTTAGTCTAGGGACACTACTTAGGACTAGCAAGAGAATACTTAGAGCTACATTACCTATCTA